CTCTGGGAGGCCGAGGTGGGAGGATCGCTTGAGCTCAGGAGTTTAAGACCAGCCTGAGCAAGGGTGAGACCCTGTCTCTACTAAAAACAGAAAAATTAGCCGGGTGTGGTGGCGCACTCCTGTAATCCCAGCTACTCGGGAGGCTGAGGCAGGAGGATCACTGGAGCCCAGTAGTCTGAGGTTGCTGTGCGCTAGGCTGATGCCATGGCACTCTAGCCAGGGCAACAAAGACAGACCTGTCTAAAAAACAAAACAAAACAAACAAAAACCTGTATATATGGTATACAACATAATGTTTTGAGACACACACACACATACACACACACGTACACGCACTTTGTGGAATGGCTAAACAAGCTATTTAACATATGCCTTGCTTCACATCTTTATTTTTTTGTGGTGAGAACACTTAAAATCTACTCTTTCAGCACACAATGTATCGTGCACCATACATTATTATCGACTGTAGTTACGATGGTGTGCAATAGATCTCTTGAACTTATTCCTCCTAATGGAAATGTTGGGAAGGTTGTTTAATTTTATCTTATTGATGTTTTGTATATTGCAGATTGTGATCCTTGAACTGTTTGGTGGGTCGCAAACATTTCTCCCAGGTTGTCACTGCTTTTTGGTTTTGCTCATGGTTCAGATTCACCAACAAGGAGTTTATCAGTGACTTGGGCTAAGACAGTGGTGGTGGCTGGTGGGGGCCATAGGTGGCAATAGGACTTCTGTCAACAATATGGGCTTCAATGGGGAGGTGGAGGGGCACAGAGGAACGTCTTCTTTAGCACAGAGGGGCCTCGTAGAGAAAAGAGCACGTAGAGAGAGGAAGGAGTAGGGTGGGGTGGGAGGGCGAGAGAATGTCCCAGAGAAAGGTCTAGGGGAGCTGGCAGGAAACAGGTGTGCTAATAACTTTGGTACTGAACAAATTGATCCATAAACAAATTGAGGAAAATTATGAATATTTCCCATTGCTGGTTTTTCATATGTTGATGATCTTTGTACCTCTCAGATGTGACTTCGCAATCTGTTGCTTGCATTTACGCATTTTTGTCCATTTGTCAGAACTTTTATTTGGGGATGAATACTATTTTTGAACAATGGGATGGTTTGACAACTTATCTCTTTAAAAACATTTTTAAAGCATTTTCATGTTAAAATTTTTTTTAATTTAAAAAAATTAATTTTAAGGTAGCAGTATTCCTTCTTTATATTTGGAAGTGTTTTTTTTTTTTTTTTTTTTTTTGTAATTTCAAAATCGTGTTGGCCTTTAAGTGAACTGCCTGAAAGTTGTTTGGTTAAAATGATTATTTCTACACATTGGTTTGTGAATTAATAAAGTTCATGCATTCCGGGTGATTTCTTTTTACAAATTTGCACATATTTTAAAGCAATTTGTAGCTTTTGTTTTAAAAAATTTTTGAATTCCTTTTCATGCACAGATGCTGACCGCATTACTCACCAGCCCCAGCCATTGTTCAAAAGCTGCTGCAGGCTGGGTTCAAAGTTCCAATACGTATAAAGGCACATTTATCCTTTTTGTGTACTTCTGAAAAAAGTGAAAATTTGAAATAAAATGAAATTTTAACATTGGAACATGAAATAAACAGGGGAGAATATGGTTCTCATTTCTCGCTGGTTTCGCCTCCAGCAACCCGGGCATGACGGGACCTGCGCGGGGCGTTGTTGTCACGGGGAAACCGGCCGAGGGTGCAAAACCAGTCGCCGGAAACTTGCCACCAAGTCGCGCCGGCGCCGGTGCGCGACGGGCCGGTGCCCCGGGTGTCTGCTGCCCCCGCGCGGCCGCGCCGCCGTCCTGCACCCGCAGGGGAGCGCACTGGAGAGCTGGGGGCACCGGGGCTGGCGGGGGGGTCGGAGGCGGGCAACCTGCCTCTCCCCTCGCTCAGGGTCCTGGAACAGAGCGGGGCAGGGACGCAGAAATGGCGCCCCCTGGTGTTGTGCAACGCAGTGGCCATTGATAAAGGGGTCACCCCACCCGGTCTTCCCTGCTACCCTGCAAAGTGAACCTTCAAGGGCACATGGCGCAGCAGAGCACGGATGGCCTTGAACCTAGTGCTGAGTAGGGAAGAGGAGGGGGCTGGAGAGTGGAGGTGGAGGGTCCCCTGATGAAGGATCTCAACTGGGGGCTCCTCCTGCAGCAAGTCCTGCTGCTCTCAGGTGTGATCTGGCAGGTAGGGCCATTATTCATTCATTTCTTTTTTTTTTTTTTTTTTTTGAGACAGAGTCTCACTGTGTTGCCCGAGCTAGAGTGCCCTGGCGTCATCCTAGCTCACAGCAACCTCAAACTCCTGGGCTCAAGTGATCCTCCTGCCTCAGCCTCCCGAGTAGCTGGGACTACAGGCATGTGCCACATGCCCGGCTAGTTTTTTCTATATATTTTTAGTTGTCCAATTAATTTCTTTCTATTTTTAGTAGAGACAGGGTCTCGCTCTTGCTCAGGCTGGTTTCGAACTCCTGAGCTCAAACAATCCTCCCGCCTCGGCCTCCCAGAGAGCTAGGATTAGAGGCGTGAGCCACCGCCCCCGGCCTCATTCATTTCTTAATTCAAATAATTATCAAGCTGCTGTGCACGTGACACTATTCTAGGCATGGGACACAGTGGTGAGTGGGATTTGTGGCCCTTGCCTTCAGAGGTGGCTTGGCAGGAAGGCAAGGACGGAAGGTGGTAGGGTGACGCCAGGATTTCTGGCTCGTGGGACCACACGGCTGGTCCTGCTCTTCCTGAGATAGGTTGGAGGGGGATCCTGAGTTGGCTTCACACTCCAGGGGAGGCCCCTGTCCTCTGTCACTAGATGTCCAGGCTTTGTGGGGCCCTCTGTGTCCTCCCTTTTCTGTGGTCTGGGCAGCCACGGAACCACAGAGAAGCTTTGCTGGAATCCGGCTTGGGGACCAAGATCTGGGCTCTGATGGTGGGCAGTGGGGAGGGGAGGGCAGGTGCGTGGAGCTGGGACAGGGACCTGAGCCTGGCATCCCCATGGACCACTCTTAGGGGACGTGGGGCAAAGTGAGGGCCCTTCAGCCCCAGCTCCCGCCCTGACCACGTGGAGTGTGGAATATGAAGCTAAGGACCATCAGTGTAGCCTCAGTGACAGTGGAATTCAGGGGACAGTGATGCCAGGCGATGGTAGGGGGCAAATCAAAGAGAGGAGGGAATCCTAGTTCTAGCCAATCTGGACTCCCCGCAGTCTCTTTGCCTCTCTCCCCAAACCTGCTCCTCCTCTTCCGGCCCCCACTGGGTGGGCAGCGCGACAATCTGCCCTTCACCCCTGCCTTCCGAGGGGGACCCCTGACCCCTGCCTCACTTTACCTCTTCTCCTGTTCATCCCTCTGTTGGGACACAACTCTCTGCGTGTCTTTTGTGTTTCTGCGTGTCTCGTGAGGCACCCATTGGTTGTCCATTGTCCTGGACTTTCTTTTCAAGGATATCTGTGCATCAAACAATCTTGGAAGATGGAGCGTCTCCCTCTGGGCAAAAGACAGACCTGCTCACTGCCCGTTATAAAATATTTCCGTTCCCTAAGCTCAGGATTCCTGTCCTGTCACACACCCACTGCAGGTACTGCCTGGCGTCATCTGGCCCTCATCACGTCACCCTGTGGGATTTGGGGCTCAAGGAATGAATGCAAAATGCTTATGCTCTAGTTCACTACTACTGCTGTGAGTAGTGAATTTTCCTTCGTCTCTGACCCAGGAGTCTTGTGCCTTCTCCCAGCAGCCATGGGGCTCTGGCTGGTGAACTCGTTAGCGTGCGAGCAGGGCAACAGCCCGGACCATCATGGGTCTTGACTTCCCCCATTTCTGTCTGTCCTACCTGCTACAGATTCCTGGTGTCTGTTGTCCCCATTCCTAGAGCCACATCCACGGTCCAGGCTCCCACTCTCTCATGCCTGGGGGTGTTATTGTTCTAGATCCCCTTCTGGCCTTCCTCCCCCAGACCCCTCTGCCTCAGTTTCTTGAGGAATTTCTCCGGTGCTCATGCTGGGCAGGCTGGAGCTTCAGCAGGGAGTTAATGTCTAACAGGAAGTGGACAGAACATGGAAGACATCCTAGTTCTCTTTCTTTCTTTTTATTTTTGAGACAGGATCTCACTCTGTCGCCCAGGCTAGAGTGTGGGGGTGTCATCGCAGCTCACAGCAACCTCAAGCTCCTGGGCTCAAGTGATCCGCTTGCCTCAGCTTCCCTAGTAGCTGTGGCTACAGGTACACGCCTGGCTAATTTTTCTATTTTTTTGTAGAGACGGTCTCACTGTTGCCCAGACTGGTCTCAAACTCCTGGCCTCAAGCGATCCTCCTGCCTCAGACTCCCGGAGTGCTGGAATTATAGGTGTGAGCCACTGCACCTGGCCCACACCCTAGTTTTCAGGATCCTTAGGTGGGCTGACTCTGAGGTGGGTTGTGCACCCCTTTCCGGGGGCCCGCAGCCAGACTGAGCTCCCAGTTGCTCAAGGTCAAAGCGTGTCTCACTTTCTTACTCTCCTGTGGATGCTTGCAGGGACCACCCCCAAGTAAACTGCTTGCACTTGATTTCTTGTTCTAGGATGTCCTGGGGACACTAACCTCAAGGAAGCTTTGCTCAAGAGGGCAGAAAAGCCCCCTGACTGTGATGTGGCCAGACTGGGCCTGAGGTCTCAGAGGGAGCCATGGAGGGGCAGGAGCCAGGTAAAGGGAGGGGTCTCTTGTGACAACTAGGTCCCCACGGTAACTTGGCCCCCACCCTGTGGCATCTGTGAGGTCACCCAGCTTCTCCCGGCTGGAGGAGGGGAGGGACACCAGGCATGGAGGCTGTACCTCCCGTCACATCCAGCCTCTGGGGGATTCTGCTGCAGGTGGTGAGGCTGTCGGTGCTGGTGAGCAGGGGCTGGGGGTGGCGGGGGAGGGGCCACCCCAGTGCTGCTGGGCCCAAGCCCTACCTGTCCCACCCATGGAGCTAGGTGACTGCCTGCCTTTGGGAATAACCTGACAGCTCCCAGAAGCCCCACCCCAAACCACAGTGCTGGAATTTTTCCAGTAGAGGGTCACTCCTGTGTGTTAAGCTTCATCCTTCCCATCTATCTTTTTAAAACATGCACATGCTTGCAGTCGGGGCCACACCCGCACATCACAGCCCCTCAGTGGGCTGAGTTGTCAAGAGAGTGTCCCCTGGGTCTCCTGCTGTGGCTTAGAAAGGACAGAGAACACCATGCAGTGGAGAGAGACACACACCGTTACATTTCAATCTCAGCCACTCCACTCTCTAGCTGTGTGACTTTGGACAAATTACTTCACCTCTCTGAGCCTCTGTTTCCTCTCCTATAAAACTGATCTTGTGGGATCATGTGGGACATAATAGGTTTCTCTCCTCCCTGGTCTCAGCATCATAGTCTGCGAGGTCCTGTTTCCTTCCTCCACTCTGATTCTTCTCCTTGATGGACCCCTTGGTTGTCTTCCTTTCCTGGCATAGCTGCACCCCCTCGGCTCTGCTAATCCAGCCCCTGGGTGGGCACCCAGACAACCGCAGAAGGCTGCCTCCTTCCCCCGCTCCTAAGAAGCTCTAGGACCCAAGTTCTCCTGCTCCTGCGGACACAGGCATGGGGGGCTCCAGATTGGCAGACTGGTGTCACTCAAGGGCTGGGGTCTTCAGGGCTCAGTGAAGGGTCTTTGGGCTGCAGCACAGCCTCTCTCCCTGCCCAGACCCTGCCCCTGCGTGCCCCATCCCAGTGCACAGGAGACACCCTTGTTCAACCCGTCGCCAGATCAGAAATTGGAGCCCCCCCCTTCACCTCTCCCAAGTAGGACAGTTCTGTCACCCCCTCCCGTCTCTCCTATCTCTCTACTTCTGATGGCACTGCCCTTCGTCCCCAGCTGGCCTCTTGATGCCAGGAGGCGACTAGTGCAGAGGCCAGCCCAACTGCCCCAGGTTCAAGTCCTGCAGGGTCGGGGCAGAGGAAGGTCACTCCTTATATAATAATAGTAATGATAATAACAATAAGGATAATAATAATGTGACCTTCTTCGGTCTAGAGTATTATAAATAATCATTTAAATCCAATGGAAAGGAACCCATGTATAATATGAAACACCTTCAAAGGCACCTGCTCAGATTGAAAGTGGACAAAGGTCATCCTTGTGTGTGAGAGAACTGAGGCCTCGAGAGGGGGAGGACCTGAGGTGGCCCATGGTGGCCCAGCAGCTCCACCTCCATAGCAAAATTGGGATTCCTGCCTCAGGTGGGTGTCTACGGGTGACGATCGTCTCTCCCTCCTCCTACAGTTGGTCCAGAACCGGGTTCACCTCTACAATTTCCTGCTCCTCAAGATCATCCTCTTCAACCACTGGGTGTTGGGGCTGGCGCAGGAGGCCCGGGGGTCCCGCGACAGGGAGGCCCACCCAGCACCGGGAGTCGCAGCCTGCCCCCTTCGCCAGGCTCTCTGGGCTGGGCTGGCCCTGATACGGGCCCCCGTGTGGCTGGCGCTGCGGGGACCCAGGCTGGTGTGGGCGGGTGTGCTGGGCTGCGCCCGGGCCTCGGGCCTGGCCCTGCTGGGTGCCTGGGAGCGGCTGGGCCTCTCTGTGGCCATCTGGACAGACCTGCTTCTGTCATGTCTGCACGGCCTGATGCTGGTGGCCTTGCTCATGCTGCTGCTGACCTGGAGGCTGTGCCAGAAGGCCCAGCGCTTCAGCCTGGGCTGGCTGCCCAGCAAGGTGGGTGGGCTGGGGTTTGCCGGGGTGCTGCGCACGGCCGGGGCTGCGCTGGGGCAGCTCCTGGGAGCCACCCGCCTGTCCATTTCTCTGCTCCAGGCCCTGCAGGAGAACCATGCGGTGCAGGGGCCCCTGGCCCTGCTGATGCGTCTGTACTGGTGGGCGGAGAGCACCACAGCACTCACCTCCTGGCACCTGGCCTATCTCGTCACCTGGACCACCTGCCTCGCCTCCCACCTGCTGCAGGCTGCCTTCGAGCACACGGCCCAGCTGGCCCAGGAGGCTGAACCCCAGGAGCCCTCAGGGTCCTTGTCAGAGCTCCAACTCCATGAGTCCTCAGCCCCCGTGGCTGGGCCAGTCCTGCCGGAGCAAGGAACCCCTGGAGAATAAATGTGTCCCCATCTGCCTCTCCTGGTCTGGCCTGGCCTAGGGTCTCACTGTCCCTCTTGCCTGTTGGGCTGGAGGGATGTTCAGTGTGTGCGTGTGCACGTGTGTGCATGTGTGTATGTGTGTGTGCATGTGTGCCCAGGGCTGCCTCTGGGAAGGAAATCACATTCAGCGAGCGCCTTTCATGTGCCACATAGCAACCATCTCAGACGCTTTACATGTAATTTGGTTTAAATCCCTTAGCAATGCGGACATCAGGGCTGATTAGCACCATTTTCAGGTGAGAAAATTGAGCCTCAGAAGGTTGAACTTTCCCAAGGTCACAGAGTCAGTCAAGGGCAGAGCACTGGTCTCTAGATGTTTTGTTTCCCAGAACCTTTAACTTTCTCTAGGTCCCTGCCTGGGTTCTCAGGACTGTTGGTGCCCAGGGTAAGGGAGACGGGCAGTTAGAGACTCTGGCCTCTGGGGGGCGCCAGGGCCCCACATTTCAGAGATTTAGACAATCCCTTTGAGAAGTGGCTACTCTTGAGCCAGGCTGCAACTAGACCCCCCATTGATTCGCACACTCGGCCACTCATCCATCCACCCACCCGCCCACCAGTCCATCCACAGAACCATCTATCAATCCACCCACCCACGCACCCACCCATCCACAAATCCACCCACAGAACCATCCCGGTCAAAGGGTCAACTCCACTGGGATTCTAGAACATTCACACAACCTGCAGGGAAACCTGAGTGCAAGAGCATGTGAGTGGAAGAATGGGCAGGCGGCCCCAGAGCAGGTGTGGGGCTGGACGGGAGAGGGCCTGGGGCGGCAGGAGGGGGAGAGGGAAGGGACAGGTGGAGAGAGGGGTCAAAGGCCAAGAGGGGGAAGGGGAGGGAGGACGGGAGCCCCAGTGGAGCTGGGCAGTGGGTTGGACACAAGACTGTGTCTGTAATACTGGTATTTTTTGCCATCTACCAACTTTTAAAAAAAATGACCCAAAATACAGAAGTGTTACCTTAATGTGTCCCCATTCTCTGATTGTAAACTCTGAAACAGTGTCAAGGGTGTGCCAATGTGATTCTCTGCACGCATGCGAACTCGCACCGATGCTCATGCGACACCTGCAGATCGTGCTGGTGGAACTCTGGCGGGATTCTCAGGCCAATTGCTTTTTTGCATTTGACAATATGCCACCCACCGTGTCCAGGTCAATCCACGTGGATTGTCCTGTCCTTCCTAATAGCTGCATGAGGGCCCATGAGGTCAGCCCCCAGCTCCTGCCACATGTGTCCCACAGTGGAGCTCTGACGCATGGGAGGGATGGGGAACTGCCAGGGGAGGGGATTTAGGGGCACAGATTAGGAGGTGGTCTCTGGCCTGGGAACTCTTCTCTGACCCTCCACATGCTGTGTTCCCACAGGTCTTGCCACATCCCTGGGGTCTGGGGCTGAGACCTTATATGGGTGGAATGAGCTGGGACCAGGGCTGGGAGGGGCTCCAGGCTGGGGCAAGGGCTGGGGGACACAGAGGTCACTGGCCCTGCCTGCCAGAGGAAGAGGGCCTAGCCTGGGCCCTAGACCTGGGGCAGGGTGGAGCTAGCAGACCAGCTGGGGCTTGGAGCCTGCTTCCCTGAGAGTGCCCACTTGCCTGCGTGACCCCCCAACCAATTGGCTCCCAAAGCACTGGCAGCTGGCGGTGCTGGGAATGCAGCTTTGTAAACGCTTGGTTCCTATTTTCTGCGCTGCGGCTCTGTAGGGGGAGTGGCTGGTGTGGCCGTGCTTTGGGCTCCATGTCCGCTTACAAGACACACTGGTGACAGAGGACATCGGTGGCTTGAAGATGGAGTACAGCCCTGCTTCTGTAGTTGCACATGGGTTGGGAGCAGATTGGGAGTCCTTCTGTGGGGCTGGGAGGGCTTCCTGGAGGAGGGGGCATTTGCACTGGGCCAGGAAGACAGGAATGTTCTGACCCTCACTGTAGGAGGATCAGGTTTCCAACAGCCTCTCTGGACACGGGGTTCCTAGCCATCGTTGACCTATGCCCTGGGCAGGTGCTCAGGCTGGTTCTCCTCCTGTACCTGGAGCCCATCTCTGGAAACGCCAGGCTGGGCAGCCTAGTGGGAGGAGATGGCCCTCTTCAACCTGAGCCCTAGACCTGAGGGAGAGGGACCAACCGCCCTCACCCCGAGCCTCAGAACCGGGTCCTGCATTCCCTGGGAAAGCAGCAGGTCTGGGTGAGGGAGCTCAGGAGCCGGGGTCCCTGAGAGGACAGATGGTCGGACTCCGTGGTTCTGCCCCTGCCCAGGGCCAGGGTGTGACTTTAGATGAGGCTCTGCTTGCTCTGGGCCTCAGTTTCCTTGTCTGTGCAATGTGGGCTGGGCAGGGTGACCCCAGTGAGAAAGTCAGCATCTGGGGGACCTTAGGCCAGGCTTGTTGCGGAACGCCCAGGCGGGAGGCGGTGGAGGCTGGAGGGGCTGTGCAGCCCTGTCGACAGGGCCCTGCACTTAGGTCGGGCTCCCTGGACCCGCCATCCCTGGGGTGATTCTGCAAAGAAGTCCCTCAGGCCTTCCAAGGACCCTGACAACCTGGGCCAGGGCTTGGGAGGAAGGGAGAAGGGCCAGAACCTGCCCTTGACTGTCCCTCGTGACTCTAGGCAGAGCAGACACCTTGGGTTGGGATCCTGGATCCACAACCTCTTGGCTGTGTAACGTTGGGCAAGTTACTTAACCCTGTGAGCCTCAGTTTCCCCTCCCGTGAACAGGGCATAATCCCAGCTCTTGCAGGGCTGTGGCCTACTCTGTGGGGGGTATGGTACCTGCTCAGGGCTAGCCCTGGGGCCTTGGGGACCCCGGCTCCTGAGCTCCCTCGCCCAGACCTGCTGCTTTCCCAGGGAATGCAGGACCCGGTTCTGAGCCTGGGGTGAGGGCGGCTGGTCCCTCTCCCTCAGGCCTGAGAGTGCGGAGGGGCCCTGGCCTGCTGGGAGAAGACGAGTGGGGCTGGTGGGGGGGCCTGGGGCAGGGTGGGGGGAGCGGCTGGAGGGCCGGCCAGCGGCTCCACGCAATCTGTCTGCTATGCAGCCCCGGGCCTGGCCTGTATTTATTTATGCTGAGCGTGTATTTATATCAAACCCTTTCTCATTAATAGGGCAGGAAATGGCTGGAATTGTTACATACCTGGCGGCCCAGGGGTCCCGCTTCGCCAAGACACACAGGGCCCTGGCTGCCCCACCACGATCTTGACGGCCCCCTCCTCAGTCTGCCCGCGGGCTCAGGCCCGCGTCCCTGGCCCTTCACTGACCCCCCCTGCTCCGTGTCCCCTGCTCAGCCCCTCAGCCCGCCTCCCTGGGAGAGGGGCTCGTTTTCAGGCCTCTCCCTGTCCCCCAGCTCCAGACCCCATCCCGACCCCAGAAAGGTGGTGGGGTGGCGTTGGCGACTGTCAAGGTGCAGACGGGGGGAGGGCCTGAAGCCCGGCAGAGCCGGGAAGGGATCAGGGTCTCTGATCTGGGGGTGAGATTCTGGTGCCTCGGTGGGGGTCTGGGCAGAGGAGGAAGTGAGGGGTGGGAAAGGGTCCTTTTGAGAGTGGAGTGTCCTGGGGGCTCTGCTCCCCAGCAAGCCCGGCCACATGTGAGCAGGGGCAACCTTTTCTACAGAGGACTGTCCCCCCAGCCCACAGAGGGGTCTCCATGTTTACCACCTTCCTCCCACACTGCCCCAGCCCCGCCAGGTAGTGGGGGGCTCATCCCTGTCCTGCCTTCCCGCTCCCAGCCCTCGCGCTGTGCTCAGAACCAAGCCAGCGGCTGTGTCCGGGCCCCAGCTCTTGGGCTGGGCTGCAGGTGGGGCTGCCAGAGCTGAGGCGCGGCCCCCTCCCCAGGGCACTCGCCTGACATAACCTATTAGTGATTCTCGCCTCAGCGTGGCTCCCCCAGCCAGACGCCCCGCCCAGGCCAGACTGCTCGTCCTGCTGTCCTCGCCAGGCGGCTGCTCTGTGGACAGGGCCAGAAGGAGCCAGTGGCCCCAGGGTAGCTGTACCTGCCCGCCCTCCCCTCAGTGGGTTCTAGGGGCCACTGTCCACCCAGGGGCCTCTGCGAGGCTGGGCCCCCTGGCAGCTGCCCTGTGGTCTGGCGGGGTTGACCTCTGACTTCTGCCCACTGTGGCCACCATGCCCTCCTGTCCCAGAGTCCAGAGCTGGGGCCACTGTGCAGCTGTGGGGTCTGAAGCTTAGAGCACAGGGGCCTCCCTGCAGTCCTGCGCTTTGTCCTTATCCCCTGCCTTCTGGGCTGCACTTCTAGGGGCTGGGGGAGCAGGCTTGGGGGGCAGCTGACCCTGGGCGGCTCCAGGCTGGAGGCCCTCTGGGTGGTGGGAGGGGCTGCTGCAGGATCTCAGGACTCTGCCAGGGGCCAATGTAGGGGTCTCTGGATTCCCCCTGCAGCCCTCCCACATCTGGGGCAGATGTGCCGTGTGGGGAGAGGCAGGCCAGGCCCCTGGGAAGCCACCGCCTCTGGCTCCCTCGGGAGGCCCTCCCCAGCCCCCCGTGGCGCCTGCTCAGTGGGTGGCAGTACCTTTCCTTCTTCTGCTCCTTGTTGTCCTCTTTGAGCCCCTCAGCTTGGCCACTGAGCACCTGGGGTTGGGGGGCAGGGATCAGCCCTGAGGCCTCCACCGGGAGTGGGGCTACTGCCCCTGCATTGGCTGAGTGGAGTGGGAGGGGCCCCCGGGGACAAGGCTGGGACAAGGCTGAGATCCCCTGGAGCAGGACTGTGTCCCTGTGACCCCCCACCAAGGTCGGGGCAGTGCCTCTTCCCACTGCGTGGCCAGGGCTGTCCAGATGGTCTGGCAGGGTGTGCCTGAGAGTATCCCTGTGGGGGTGGGGGGAGGAAGGCATCTGGCCCCAAAGCCCCCACCCTGGAGCCACCTGTGGTCTGGGGGGCCCCTGACCCTCTGCTCCTATTGGGGGTCCTGCCTGTCCCTGGCTTGTGTGACCCTGGGCAGACCCTTGGGTTCTGTCCCTGTTGCCATGAC